GAAGGGGGGTGAAGGGGGGTGAAGGGGTGAGGGGGGGGTTTAACTAGCCATTTAAGGCAAGCTGAAGTTGCCTGGAGTCCTTCCCTGGACAGGGGGAAGGCAAGGGGATGAGGGAGGAGGAAGGGAGACACGCAACAACTTGAAGGACCTTCCTTCCCCATGCAGCGGCATCCTACACATCCTACACACAAGTACAGGATTTTTATTCATTCATTGTGAATGGTGCGGGGGGAAGGAGGGGGCCGTTGATGATGAGCGCTGTTGATGCGAAGTTTGCATACCATCATGCACATCACCCAGTGGGGGGGTGGGGGGTAACTGCGGTTTGGGGGGGGGGGTTATCACCCAGTTAGGGGAAGAAGTTAAGACACATTATGTATGGAAACTTCTCTAATTTTTTATTAACATACATTTCAAAACTATGCAGTTTTGTATAGCAAATGTGCAGTTTTTGCACATTACACAGTGAATCGCTTTTGTGTCCCTAACCTGTTTTCGTTTCGAGAAACCAAAACCAGAAATTTTTTACACGACGTACGAGGGTATTTTGATCAGTAGGCGAAAACAGTGCAATAGGTATCAAAATGTACTTCTAGTTATAGCATCAATTCCAGGCTTTACAAAAAGAACTCTTTTTTTCAATTATCGTCAAATGTGGACGAATCGTCGATAATCAAGCATAAATTTTGAAATAAAAATAAAATTTACCGGTTGTTCCCTAGCGTCGCCCGCATCTTAGTCATGTTGATGCCGGGCACGGTGAACATGTGCATGTTGTACTTAATTTATAGTACTGCATCATAATGTATGGTATATTCATAATGTAACCATATTCATAATGTAGTATGGTATAGTGCATCTTATGAGCGAGATTAATTGAACGGGCAACGCAATAATATAGGAATACAAACATTAATGCGTGGTTCTCAGAGGGAGCATGGTTCTCATGCGAAGAATGGTTCTCATAGAATAATTTGGCAATCCTTCAGACAATCCTGCTACCTGACACGGTGATTCGGAAATAATGCTACCTATTGCAATCTAACAATCATTACAAATTAGTATAAAATGTAATCCTAACACCTTAATGATATTTATATGGCAATTCTGGAAGGAAAATCGTGTTAAAGAAATTTTAAGAAGGTAGTACATCTAAAATCCTGGGATAAAATTCTTGAAGTAATTTCGTGAAACTTACGCATATAAGAAACGTATCGTTATGAGTTTAAATTATTTAATGAAAATTTATTTTCACCACTCAAATTTATTTTCACCACTCAAATTTATTTTCACCACTCAAATTTATTTTCACCACTCAAATTTATTTTCATCACTCAATGCCTGACAGTTTAGGTATGTATCGTTCAGTGATGATTAACTTGACGATGGACTTAGTGATGAGATATTTGGTGATGAACTAAGTGATGAAATATTTGGTGATGAAGTCTGATGAATCACTAAGTGATGAAATATTTGGTGATGAGGTCTGATGAACCACTAAGTGATGAAATATTTGGTGATGAGGTCTGATGAACCACTAAGTGATGATATATTCATCAGCTGCGAGCCAACCACGTCGAGTAACCTATCGTTATCGGTTGGTTGAGTCATCGGTTTATCTTCCTCTAGACATCTAGGAGATTGCAACTAGTGCCAGCGGTGCCAGCAGTTAGGAAGTCATTCTAGTGCCAGCAGTTGGGAGGTCATTCTAGTGCCAGCAGTTAGGAGGTCATTCTAGTGCCAGCATAAGAAGCTATGCATATTTATATACAAAACGACGCGTTCAGTGTTAAGTTATACGTGCTGACTGTTTGCAGTCACGAGTAAAAAAAGAACAGAACCAACTTAAGTTCAACATAATAAACCTGTTAAAAAATTAATCGCGTGTTCTCACAATATAACTGACAATATTTCTTGAATTGTAGATAATAATAACCCATCCTAAAAAGCGTGATTAGTTTTTCACCGCCACTATTTACAGTACAAAATACCTAGTTACCGTACTACTAGCTAACACAACCGCTCTGGTTACCTAACCCTTACCTAACCGCTAATTTTATAGTTTAGTTACTAAACATTTAATTCTATTATAAAACTCAAGCAAAGATAATTACTGACTTAGCAACTGAGTTAGAGGAGCGAAACACACTGTAACAACTTAAACACCTGAAGCATTGTATAAGGATCAGAGGTGAGGAAGAGGATCTTAGAAGAGGAGTACGGAGGCTAGCATGTCTGTCCGAGCCTAGACTCAGAGGCTACCATGTCTTTAAGAGGCTACCATGTCTTTAAGAGGCTACCATGTCTTTAAGAGGCTACCATGTCTTTAAGAGGCTACCATGTCAGTCTGAA